TAGGAATGTTTGCCCAGTGGTGACCTGTTCTGTTGCTGTGATGAATACTGACTTGTTTGGTTTCCTAATTATCTTATTTTCTTCTTTGGGGAGGATGTCTGCTATATTTTCATTGTGTTCAGTAGTTGTTATCCCAGGAGTGTTGTGTTATTTTGGACTTTAATATTTCTCCCATTTCTGTGTTGAGTTTATGTCAGTGATTCAGGTTTCAAGTAGTCTTGCTGCCTCTCCAAAACAATGTGTATATCACGTACTCTTCGTATAATGTACAAGTCTGAACTTACAAGTGAGTGAACCTGTATTATTAGTGTGGAATTTCCACATTTGAGATTGTGGTTATATTACCATGACTTGATCACCAGACCATTAGTGAAAACAGGTTGAATCACTGGATGGTGAGACTTGTATCTGCATTACAAAAGACCAGTTAAAACACTCTTGTGACATGTTTGAAAATAATTATATTTAACAAAAACGTTTTTGGTGTGGTGTGGAAAGGAAGTTGACAGACAGAGCACTGCAGTATGAATAATTTGTCCAACTTCGATTTTCTTCTTCCTGCTTTATTTATAACATTCTCATTGCTTTGGGTTAATGATTTCAGTGTAAAAGTAATAGTTTATTCATAGTAATGGAAACAATGTGCAATACCAGCTTACCTTTTATATAGTTTGCAGTGTAATGCAATAAGCATGAAAGCTGAAAACTTAGTATCAAATGGTCTCTTAACTTAACATATACTGAACAGTAGACACTGTGTGAATGCGGAAATAGTTGCTAATGTTATAAACCTTGTTACAAGTGTATTTTGAAGACCATATACATGATTCTTTTTTTAAGATGCTGCATATTAAATGTTGTGTATAGTGCAGAATTATTTAGTGAAGATTGGTTCCCTAGCCCTATCTACAGTAAGTTTTTAAGAAATATTGTGTCATAAGAATCATTACTTTTCATGTTAAATCCCATCAATTTAAGTAACTATGACATACATTTACATCATAGTTCTTTTGAAAGAGAATATTTCTGATACCTGGTACACAGAAGATGAGCAGTGTGTTGATTAGATGTTTATTCTACATAAGGTATCTGAAGTGTACATACGTGGTGCAATCCAAAAGTTCCCGAAATATATTAATGAAAACTATTACATCTTACCTAGATCTTATTCTGCACCATCACCTTCAAATTAGTCCCCTTGGGAGCACATACACTGATCCCAGCGCGTCTGCCACTTTTCAAATGCATCCTGGAAGTCTTTCTTTGTTAGGGTGTTTAGTACCGTCTCCATTTCCGCTTGAATTTCCTCAACTGTATCAAATCTTCGCCCCTTCAACTTGATTTTCATCTTGGGGAAGAGAAAGAAGTCACATGGAACTAAGTCTGGCGAGTACAGTGGAAGGGGAACAACTGCCATCTTGTTTTTAGCCAAAAATTCCTGCACAATGTAAGCCGTATGCGGTCGTGCGTTGTCACGGTGGAGTACCCAGTCGTTCGTGCGCCACTTCTTTGGGCGTTTTCTCTTCATGCCCTCTCTCAAACGCCTTAGAACATCGCGATAGAACTCTTTATTGACTGTCTGACCAGGAGGGACGAACTCCTTATGAACAATCCCATCAGTATCAAAAAAACAGATCAACATGGACTTAATGTTGCTCTTGACTTGTCGAGCTTTTTT